TATCAATGGCTGCTGTAGTACATGTTGGTATCTTCAAAGTGGTTTCTCAGGAAAACAGAGATATGCAAGAAAGATCTAACAAGTAGTTACAGCCTAAGGGTTGTGAAAAATAGTGGATTACCTCATCGGTGACTCCTTTCACTGAGGTGTGACAGCTGGAAGGAAGGTCAGGATTGAAAAGAAGGACCGAGAGACTAGCACCAGTGTCCAGCAATAGGTTATTTACTTTTTCCTCTATAGTCATGATTACATGGGGCTCCTCCTTGAAGATAACAGGCTGGCCAGAGGGAGAAGGCAGAGTATACCCTGGGCCCCTTCATTCCTGTTGGACCAGCTGGTAGGAGAGGTCTGAGCTCTGCGGCCTTTGCTTCAGACGGCAGTCCGACCTCTAGTGGTCACCTATACAGTCAGGGCATGGCCCCGGGGGCTTCTTAGGGCAGTCCCTCTTGAGGTGCCCTGGCTTTTGACAGCTGTAGCAGATGAATGTAGTCCATGAGCTCTTCTTGGGGCCCTGAGAATCAGACTTAGGGTCTGTTTCTCTTAGTGCTGCAACAAAGGCAGTTGTTTTTTCTTGTTCTCTTTGTTTTCTCTCCTTGGCTTCCTCCTCCTCATGGCTATAAAAAACTAAGGAGGAGATTCTTACTAACATCTCAAGTGAGTTATCTGGGGCAAAAGCCAGTTTTTGTAGCTTTTTTTTTTTTTTTTTACTATTTGGGGCTGACTGAGAAATAAACTTATCTTTAAGAATAGTTTGTCCCTCTACTGAACTGTGAACCAGGGAAGTATCCTTTATCAATGCCTCTTGTCTAAGAAAGCAGCGGCGTGCTCTCTCCAACCTCCCAGCTCATTGGGATCCTACAACCACTTAGTGTCCTCTCCCCAACCATCCATTATTGATTTTTTACTCAAAGCAAAAATGTTATTTAATATAAAACAAAATTTGAAATATCAGGAAAAAAATTTAGTTTATATATTATACCCATATGAAACTTAATATATTATGAAGAACATTAGTAATATTAGTAAAAAAGCCTTGCAAAGTGTTTTGACAAAACTGAAATAAAAATCAATAGTATTTTTTGCATACCAGCAACACAGAAAGTATTTTTTACAAAGAAATATATTTACAAAAATTACAAAAAGCAAATATTCTAGGAGTGAATACACATATGTATCTTCAAAATGTCTGGCAAATATAAAAAATACATATAGACACTGCATAGATATAGAGATCATGTTCATAAAATTATATGCCACAATGCCATGCAGATATTTAAACTTCTGAATTTAACCTATAGCTGCAATGTAATTCTATTTGAAATCACAATAGGATTTGGATTATTTTATGAACTTGCTCTAAAATTTGTTTGAAAATAATAAAGTCCAAAACAGTTAAATTTTCAGAAGCAAAAGAATATATTCACAGATGATCAAATCATACAGGAAGATTTATTATAACGCTGTATTAACTCTAAGTGTGATGTACACTGTCCTCTGGCACATATAGACAAATCAATGGAATCTAGAGCCCAGGGCATGTCCCCTGTGCATAATAAAAATGATACATGGTGA